CCTGCCGCTCCCAGCCAGAGCAAGGGGCAGGGGGAGGAGGCCGCGCCGAGGGAGGGGAGGAGGGAAGAGGAGGAGGGAGGGAGCCGAGGAAGACGCTCCGATAAGCCGTGCGTTTCGTAAGGCTTGGAGCACTTGTACATTTCTGCAGGCGCGCGGCGAGCCATTCGCGGAGGCTGCTGCAGCTCGGACTGCATCCTCCTCCTCCTCCTCCTCCTCCTCCTCCTCCTCCCTCCTGCTCCGGGTGTGTGCCTGTGTGAATGTATGTGAGTGTGTTTTGCAAGGTGTGTCCGTTTTAATTCTGCCCAGTAGGTGGGACTTGGTGACTTTAGCACCATTTTTCCTTTTCTTCTCCCCCTACATTTTTATTATTATTATTTTGCTTCCCCACCGTCTGTTGCAACGCTGCTGCAAAGTCTCGGAGTCGGAGAGCGTGCCTCGCTTCCGGAGCCCCTGGACCCGGCCAGCCGGCGAGCTCCGAGCGGGCCACCATGCCCGGCAGACCGCGCCACTAGGCGCTCCCCGCGGCTCCCACCCGGCGGCGGCCGCGATGGTTTCAGACGCTGAAGGATTTTGCATCTGATCGCTCGGCGTTTCAAAGGCAGAGGCCCCCTCCCCCTTCCCCCCTCCCTCGCCGTCTTTGTTTCCTCCCCCCTGCTCTCCCCACTCCCCCCACCCCACCCCCCTCTCCTCTCCTCCTCCTCTTTTTTAGAAGCAGCGATCGGAGATGGATGTCTCTCTTTGCCCAGCCAAGTGTAGTTTCTGGCGGATTTTCTTGCTGGGAAGCGTCTGGCTGGACTATGTGGGCTCCGTGCTGGCTTGCCCGGCAAATTGTGTCTGCAGCAAGACTGAGATCAATTGCCGGCGGCCGGACGATGGGAACCTCTTCCCCCTCTTGGAAGGGCAGGATTCAGGGAACAGCAATGGGAACGCCAGCGTCAACATCACGGACATCTCAAGGAATATCACTTCCATGTAAGTCGGCGACCGCTCCCCAGCCCACCTCCCCCTCCCTGCTCCGCGTCCCCCTCTCGCCCGCTCGCTGCCGGGAGCCGGCCCTAGTCTGCCCTAGCTCGCCCCGGCTCGCCGCTGCCCACCGCTGCCCGCCTGGCGCGCGCGAGGCTCGCTCGGGCTCGGGAGACGCTCTGGGCTGCGGAGCCCAGGTGACGCCAGCCCTGCGAGGCTCCATCGGAGGATGCTGGCGGGTGCCTCTCCCGGGAGAGGTCTCTAGCCGGCCCAGGGCACTCGGGGCCCAGCTCCCGCCTCCGCCCCCACCAGCTGCCGGCTCCTTTCGACAGCGCGAATGGGGTTCTTTGCCCCCCACGAAATAGCAACAGTTTGGCCACGCTCAAGTGGGATAAAGTAGACCAGGCTGAATTCCCCGGCAGAGGCGGCGGAGGCAGCGCTTAGCCGGGAGGGAAGGTGACAGATAGGGACTGCGGGACCCAGCCAAGATGCTTTAACTGTTTCCTTTTGGAGGCAGCAAAACACGCTGTCAAGTAAACAAGTTGGGAGCTGGCTGCTCGCGGGGAGACTTTGGACGTGTCCAGGCCGTCATGGACGCCTGCCTCTTCCCTTCTCTCTCGCCTGCCCGCCCTCTCCAGCCCCATTTTGGGCATTTCCGAGACCCCCCCCCTCCTTCCACTGCATCTGGGCGCCTCTAGATCCCTTTGCTGCTAGGTCTCTCATAACTGCTCCGGATAATTCTGAGCCCGAACCCAGGTGGTGAAGGGAGAGGAGAGGGCGTGCGTTTGGGGAAGGGGCTTCTATGATCCTACGGATCCATCTATATATTTGGAAAATTGAACTGTGGCTGCCGTTTGCCTGGTTCTGTCCCGTCTGAGTGCGACCTGTGGTGGCCTGCTCTTTTCTTCATGTTATTTTTCTTCTGTAGGCTCGGGGTGCGGGGAAGAGGGCAAGAGCTCAGGGGGCACCTGCCCATCCTTCCTTTCACCCCTCAGCGGCCAGCTGACCCCCTCCTATCCTGCCCCCATAGAGAAGGGGTGGATGACACTAGTATGTTCAGAGGCTCCCTCTCCCTGTTTTCCTGCAAGGCTCCTGTCTCTTGGGAACCCCCAGGAGTGGGCAGGACATTGAGAAAGGTTTGTCCTGGCATGCTGGCCAGGGGCTGAGCAAGGCATCTCACAGCAAGAGGCTGAAGGTGTCATTGCTCTGCTCTCCCAGCCTCAGCCCTCCCTTTGCTTGAGCAAATGGGGCTGCGAAGCCTGGAGGAATTGCTGTCCTGCTCTCTGGAAAGCCCGCTCGCCTTCCTGGCTTTATGGAGACTGCTTGTGTTCTTGCAGCTGACAGTTTGAGGGAAATGGTCAGGCAGGAGATGTCCCTGACTCCTGGCTCAGGAGACAAGCTTGACCCATATCTCAGCTCTGCTGTCCACCCCTCACCACCTTCAGCCTGGCCAGGCGATGATAAGACAAACAGCTGGTGTGAAAGGGGAGGGCAGGGGACAGGAAAAGCTGGATGAACCCACGGATGGCAATCCTCCCTGCAGGCTACAGGATCCAGCATCGCTAGGGATGTAGGGAGGAGACTGTCACAGAAACTCCTGACTTGGAAGTGCACCCTCTCAGGAGCTGTATGTGGAGGGGTGAGTAGAGGGAGCTTAGTGGCTCAGTGGCCAGCCTTGGTCCTCCTGAGCTGGACCTAGGGATGTCCAGAGAATTGGGTAGGCTGGGGGCTGAAGTGAAGGTGTCCTAGGTGCCTACTGAGAGTCCCTGGTAGCCCATGAGCTGCATCCAGCTTGTTGTCTGCTCCAGGGACTTGTGTGTCTGTTGGAAGCCAGCGGGAGGCAGGGAGGGTCACAGTCATCACGTAGGCTCTTTATAGCCACACAGAGGTGTCATTCCTCTGAAAACCAGGCTCAGAGGAGCAGTGTGATGGGGCAATTTGGGTCCATCTTTCTAGGCTGCTTTCGGGACAGGGGACTTGGGTGGCCTCTTGTCTTCTATGACAGTAGAGAATCCCAGGAGGGAACTGAGGGGATAAAAGGAGGGAGTGAGTTGGGAACACTTCTGTGCCTGTTCCCATTCTTGTTTCAGGACTTGGTCCCTGACAGGCCATAAGGACTCTGCCTTAAATCCACCCCAACATGAAAGAGCCAGGGACCCGGATTCCCACAAGAGCTGTGGGAGTGGCAGGTGGGGAAGAGCCAGAGGTCATGGGTCGGATGACCCTTCCTGACCCATCTTCTCCCCAGTGCCCTGTTATATCTGTGGCTGATATTGACTGAACTCAGGGAAGATCCCAGTCTTCTAATCCAGAGTCAAACAGCCTAGAGAGGAGAGGAGTCATGCTCACTTTGCAGAGAGCTTGCTCTGATCCCTGTGTTATCGCAAGGAAATGGAGGCCCAGGGTTGGGGCAACGTTCCCCAGGCGCATAGCCCCAGGAGTGGAGCCTGGTTTAGGACTCTGGTGTGTCCAGCATGCAATCCCAGGTCTCCACCCCTGGGGCTGCCTGCAGGAAGGAGGGACTTGCCTTAGCCTGGCCTACGAGGAGAGGCATTCTTCAGACTCATGGTTTCCAGAGATATGGGGTACCGGGGGCCCCAGAGCCCATCAGCCTGAAGCTCTGTGTGCTGGTGTCTGTGCTGGGTACAGCTTGGGCGCATTTTGGGGAGGAAGATGCTGGGGCCTCCACAGCTCAAGTGCTGAACTGATTGTGCCTGAGTTTTCAGAGGGACAAGGCTGTGTCCCTGTGGTTCAGCTTCTTGGGGTAGTTAGTGTGTGCAGTGCTTCCTGTGCCCATCCGGAGCTGGCTGAGGGCTGCTCTTTGGGATCAGAAGGACATCAGCCACAGGGCTTTATAGCAGAAGTGTGGGTCTCACCTCCGGCCCTGTTGGAGGCAAGCTGATCCAAAGTCTCCCAACCAACCCCCTGGGCCTCTTTCTGCCTGGGAGACCAGTCCTTTTGGCTTTGGAGCTCTTCATACAGGGTAGCCTTGCCTAGAAAAGGCCATGCGTGGCCACACCCAGCCAGGGTCTGACGTCACAAAGGCAGGAGGGTGGTGGCCAGGACGGTGGGCTGTCTGGGAGACCGCTCCAGTCCAGGCCTGTAGGGTTGGGTTGGACTGGTGCATCCTTTGGCTGTTAGAGAAGACAGAAGGGGAGAAGAGGACATCTCTGGGCCAGGTGTTCTTGGGCCTGGATGTCTGGGCTTGCAGGGATTGTGGGTTCTTGGCCAGGATGCCAAGCTGAAAGTTGGCTGTCACTCTGAGCTGCCACAGAGTCCCTGCTGTTTGGCAGCTGTCTAGTACCTTGACGTCCCCTGCTCTTCCTGAAGACAGTCTCTGGCTGGCTGAAGGGTCACTTGGGGCTATGGGTGCTGTATAGCTCCTCGATTCTTTGCCTTTCCAAGGATCAAGGGGAGACCCAGCCTTGGCAATTACTAATGAGAACTGGGGTCCAGCAATGTGTGAATCAGTCCCAAGGGTATCTGGGGCTCAACTGGGGGCCTCATCAAGGTTCTCAGAGCCCCAGGACTGGGGGCTAGACCTGTGAGTAGGCATAGACACGAGGGGTCTTTGGGCTGAGATTTAGAAGAGAAAGTGGTTAACAGCTCCAGGAAAAGGGATAATTCCTGGATGAAAGCTGGGGATCTTTACTCTACTGGTCTTGGGATTGTACACTGGGGTAGGTCTCTTGATCCATAATTGCCAGCTCCAGCAAATACAGCAGGTCAACCTCTGCAGTACCCCCTGGGGCCAAGGGCACCAGGCCTGCACCTCCTGGGCCCTGAGAACAGAGTCGCTTGGGACAAGACCAGCCAACCCTGGCCATGGCTTTGAAAGTAGGTGGGTTTTGGTCCCAAGAGGGCTGTGTTGTAGCCTGAGATGCTTGTTGGGGTCCTGCAGGGCTCTGGCTGCCCTCTGGCCTGGCTACTGTGGAGTGTAGCATGATAGGAAAGGCCCTCTTTTGGATGGCCTTTGCCAGCATGGTGGTATCGCCACTGTGGCTTGAGTTCCCAGCTCCAGGATGCATTGAGCAGCTCTTACCGTCTTCGTAGGCTCCATGCCCAGCCTTTCCTTGGGGCCTTCTTCAGGTGGCCAGTGGCAGACTAGAAGTAGGGAAAGGAGTGGGACACATGAGGTATGTCCTGCTTGTGCTCCCGTCCCCCTTGAGCTGTATGAGAGGGCTGGAGCTTTTCTGAGCCTGTAAAATGAACTATTAATTGAGGCCACAGGGCAGAATATCCCTTCCCACTTGGACATTGCCATTCCAGGGCACAAGGAACATCACTCAGGAGGCTCGGCCAGCCCACTTTAAGGGCCCCTTCTTTGGGATTGTGGTAACCCTTGTGATACTGCCAGAGGGTCACAGGGTGCTCCCTCACTGGCCAGGGGCCACTGGCCATTTCCCTCTGCTTTTCCTTTGCTCCTCTAGAGAACTAAGGCTGCCTAGAATTTGTGACACATGACACAATTTGGAGTCAGCTTCTCAGACCATATGCAATCCCAGTTTGTGCTCATAGACTGGACACCAACCTACATGGCCCATGGCATTCTGAACCCTATGCTTGGGGGCAGGGGATGTCCTCTGCCCAGGTTTTAACCCGTGTTGGAGCACGGGTTGCTGCCGAAGTGTGAGAAGAAAACACGAGCATTTCTATTCAAAGTCTTCTTGCCTAGAAAAGGGAATATTTAATATTTAATGTATGGATTGAAGATAGCAAAGCATATAATTTAATAAATATGAGCGTTTTGGGGTTGCAAGATAAATTTTTTATTGCTGAATCGTGCGTAATCAAAGCAGCATGGTGCCTTCTGTTCTTGTGATTGGAAAATCCAGTGCTTGAGAGGGAGATAGGTGGGGATGGGAGGTGAGCTGAAGGCTCTGATTCCCCTTGCTGCTGCTCCAAGAAGGATTTGGTGATCTGGGTGGAGGGTGGGAGGGATCAGGCCAGGCTGGATCAGACAGGGGATCTCAGTTCCCCATCAGGATTCCCAAGGTCTGCAAACCCCC